ACAATAATAACACAAGCTACGACCTTTCTATATTTTCTCCAGATTTTTGGGCTTTCTTGTCTTTGTGCTCTTGTTCTTCTTACTCACACCATCAAATTCAAAACATTTCCTCTCTTTCTGTGTGTTTAGAGACTATCACAATCACTGAGAAATCAAGAAAGTAGTCAGATTTCTACATTGTCTTCATCTTCTTTAAGGTTAGTCTCAACTACATGTCTTTCTCTGTGTATGTAACAATGGAAGGTATAAACTTTTTTTCTCAGAGTTTGAGATATTTGATTCAAAGTAATGTGTTTTTTTTCCAATCTTTCTATAAAGTGTCATTAGTGAAAGAAAAAAGCAATCATCTTTAAAATGTTTTTTTGACTACTCCTATAGTGAAACTCTGTTTTAAGAGAGCCTCACGCGCACTTGGTGGCGCGTGGCACAATTCTTATTCGTGCGTCCGACTAAGGAAATGCTTTATAATGTTCATTAGATCATAACTTTGGAGACTCCCAACAACTTTTGCATAGATCAAAATGCCAAAACCAAGGTAAGTGTTGTTTACTTGAATTCTTGAAGAAAATGTGATTTAGATTTGGTTTTTTGTTGTTGTTAGTCTCTCTAATGATCTTACATGAGTTAAATTTGCCATCTTGAGTAGTGTTAGAGGAGGTTCAGAGTTGCCTCTGAGACAATCTCCGAGGCTGAGGTTATCATCATCATCGTCTATTTCCTCTGATCCGAGTCATCTCAAGCGTCCGATTACAGACCGTAGGAGTGGTGGACCTCACACGGATCCTTTGACTCAGAAGAAGCTTGGAGGTCGAATCTCTGGCTTGGAGTTACAGTTAGGACAAGCTCAAGAAGAGCTGAGGTTGCTCAAAGAGCAGTTGGCTAAAGCCGAGGCTGCGAAGAAACGTGCTCAAGAAGAGCTTCGTAAGAAGAAAACTAGGAAACCAAAGCAGCTTCCTTGTGTTGGAAATGAGAGAGATGATGTTCCTGGAGATAGACATGGAGAGACTGATGTTTTCGAGGTGGTTCGTCATGTTGAGAAAGGCGAGAAGATGAAGAAGAACGATGAATTGGCTTTAAAGGAAGATCAAATCAATGTATTGAAAGCTAGACTATACGACATGGAGAAAGAGAAGGTATCACTTGGTAATGAAAACGAGAGCTTGAAGAATCAGTTGAAGAAGACGGATATGGAAATGTCTAGCGCAAAGGCGAAAGAGGATGAGATAGTTTTTAAGGTGAATCAGATTGAGGAAGAACTAGAAGAAAGCAATGAGGAAACCGCGAAGCTAAAGAAGAAGCTTGAATCAATGGAAGAAGCAAAAGAGAGTCTAGAAGCAGAGATGAGGAAGATGAAAGTTCAAACTGAGCAATGGAGGAAAGCAGCAGATGCTGCAGCTGCTGTTTTATCTGGAGGGGTTGATATGAATGGTTTGTTCTCAGAGCGGTGCGGGTCGATAGAGAAGCATTTTGCAGGCCGGTTTATGGGATCACCCGGAATGGCTGATGATTCGGATGATGGGAATGGGAAAAGGAAAGGTTCAGGTATGAAGATGTTTGGTGACCTGTGGAGGAAGAAAGGGCAGAAATGAAAGTAGCGTTTGATTCAAGAAAGCAAGTGTTGTTGCCTTTTACTTGGTGGGATTTATCTTAAGTGTGACTACGAAATGATGGCTCATTGTTTCGGATTATATAAATTATCTAAGAGATTTCTAGTGATCAACATTTAGACAAATGATTGTGCTACTCTTTATATAAATGATTGAACTTGAAAATTTCTGAGAAATATATCGGAAATGAATGTTAAACTAAAAGGATGTCTCTACGGATTAACTATGTGTTCGATCCTTAATCATCTAGTGCGCATTGGAATTCTAAGAGTGTTAGAATCTATGTGAAAACGCAAAATGATATGAACACTCAAGGTTGACCATGAGCCCCAAATGGATCAATTTTGTCTATAAAACGGTCCATTTTTAATAAAATATGCAAATTGTCCC